TAACTAACTTTTCTAACAAAGGAAGGATTCCTCACCCATGATCTGTACTTTTTAAGCGGTTTTTCCCGACTTTCGTCCTCCAATCCAAAGGACTTCTTCAGGAATGAATTCTCAACCGCGCTTGGTGATTTAAAACCTAATCCTGATACAAACCATAAACAATCTAAGGTCAGTTGATGTCGAAAGGGAGCCGTCTTAACGACCCTGCTGAGGCTAACGACCCTAACTCATTAGCATGTCATGAACCTTGTCCACAAGTTAGGGCGTGTTTTTAGTGATGTCGTCATAGATGTGAGGCAAGCCTGTGTCTCTGGCCTTTCTTCGTCCTTGAGCTTTAGTAAAAGGCCAAACCCGAGGTCATCATAACTTGAGAACGACAATTAGAGACTGAGGTCTTCAGAAAGTCCACACACACTGACCCTATAAAATCCAGTACCACATATGGCCTTTGATTCAATATCATCCGCTACAACACAAACATCGGGGGTCATTAGAACGCATCAAACACCGCGCCCAACCAGCCCCACAAGCTCGGAGGGAAAGAACAGAGAAACCAAACAATCTTCAGAGACCTTTCCCAGATGTGGCTACCCCAAAGAGGTCTTTTACTAAAGCCACAAAGACGAGACAGCCAGAGACAACAGTCCAACAACAGAATAAAGTAGGAGGGAGAGGGGTGTCCTTACCGATGTGGCGGGAGTTTCAGAGAAACTACAAAGAATCTTATTAGGCAACACAAAAATCCCGTGTATTTTCAAACTTTCAACACGTTAAGACAGAAATTAGTGCAATCCTCAAAGACAAAACACCCAGACACAAACAGAACAATGTGGTGAATCAGTATAAATGTATTGAAGAGGAGTGCACTGACCCAATATTAGGAGAAACCAAACAAACTCTACAGAACCTACAAGGCCTACCAATTTTACAGAGGATAAAATTCTGGCTCGGTGAGAAGAATGGTTTGAGAGAGGGTGAAAGAAGCCATTTTTGTGAGGAAACAAAACCGTTCTCTTAAACAAGAGGACTCGCATCTATGGACGACTCCTAAAAAACACACCCATAACATTGGACATATGTCTGTGACATCTAATGAGTTAGGTCGTTAGCCTCGATCAGGGTCGTTAGACCCTGCTTCTTCCCTTCTACATTCAAACAGAACCTTAGAATTGTATTAGAGTTTAGTATCAGGATTAGGTTATAAACTCCAACGCGGCGGTCTGAGAATTCATTCCTGAAAGATGTCCTTTGGATTGAGGACGAAACGTCGGAAAACCTGCTAAAAAGTACAGATCATGGTGAGAAACCTTACCTTTGCATAGAATAAGTTAGTTAGTTAATAATCATTAGATCACAGGCTTTAATGTAAACCCAATCTAACGCCGCCATCAATTATTTCATCGACCGATTAATGTGAGTATGTATTTAGAACTGAAACCACTCACTGCGCAGCAAAACTACACACGGCCCAAATTTCGGACTGACGAGACAACCTGGCCCTTCTACCACAGGCACTGAAATCAGATAAGATTTTTCGTATCTTGACAACATTTTTACTCCCTCAATACTCTTTGTGTCGGGACAAACAGCCTGGATTAGCTAGAGAAGATACTCATGCACCCCACTTTATATCCTCTGAATCATTTCAAGTTATCTAGTTTAGATTCCAAACCGAGCATTTTAAAATCATCACCGCAGGATCCAGATGGAAGTACAACACTTCCTATTTCATTTTTTTTATTAAGTTCCGAATCATTGTCTTAAAGCTGGGTTTACCTAAGTTTTCAAGCCGCAAAAGATTTAAAACTATGTAAAAATCCATCTCTGTTCTCTTCCAGACCTTCCTCTGGTTCTCTCTCCTGTCATCACTGTTTCTCCGTCTCTGTTCTCTTTCTAGTCTCATTCCTTGGATCTCGCTCACTGTTTAGATTACAACTGCAGACACAACATCAACAGATATTGTAAAATGAACCTGTCTCAACGCTCTGATTGATTTCCGTCCTCTCTCAGATCTCTCTCTGGGTCTATTCTAGTCTCTCTGTCCTCTCTTTGGTCTCTTCTTATCTCTTCTCTATAAGAGCCTCTCTCTGGTCTCTCTCTCTGGTCTCTTTCTAGTACTCTCGCTGGTCTCCCTCAGTTCGCTCGCTCTGATCCTCTCTAGTTTTTATCTCTCACCACACAGTCAAATAGCTTTTACATGATGTATCGTATGATCCTCTGTCACATCTTGGATCAGATTTTCTTTTTTAGAATCCGAAAAAAGATTAAAATGGACCACCCACCTCAGTCAATCAGATTGGAGCACAGGGGGAGAGAGTAAGTAGTAAGTGAAAAATCTCGTAAAATTAAAACACAGCTCGTTCACCTTGCGGAATCTCAGGTCGTCCCTTGTGAGTCGCTTTTTACCCTATCACACACCACAGCAGCAGCTACAGCACAGCGGCAAGCAGTGGCCCCCTCCCCCCTCAACTCCCCTTCCTCTTCCTCACTCTCTCCTCAAGCGCGCCCTCTGTCACCTCCTCCTCCCATGTACTCGCTCTCTCCTCCGCAAGCACGGCCATAACGCAGAATAGACAGGACCACGCGTGAAAAGTCCTGATCGCGCTTGCTTGGTGCTGAATGGGATATATTTCAAAAGAAGCAACACCGCCTTCTCCTGCGCGACTTTCTACATTTGTGACATAAGTAAGCCATATCAGAGAGTGCTTATTTGGGCTTTCGCCGCCGCCTCATCCCCCCCCCCCACCCCTATAGCCGTCCATTGCCTGCTGCAAATATTATGACAAACACTCTAAAATTATTCCAGTCACGTTTTTTGGGCTGACAACTGTCCTGGGAGCGCGCTGGAGTGGCTCTGCATCCTACAGTGCACGGGAGATACGCAGCGCAATGGACGGACGACGCTGCAGTAGTGATGTAAAGAAGGGATTCCCCTCAGCAAAACGGTAATTGCAAAGGATGAACACACACACACCCACTGTGATAACTCATCATACCACACACCCCCCCACACACACACACACACACTCACACACTGATACTCTCCATACACACAAACCCGACACGCACACTGGACACGCGCCCTTGGACAACGCACAGGTGATTACTGGATTTCGGTCACAGCACACTGACTGGACATGTGGGTCTTGCAAAGAGATTTGGGATGAATAGACGAGGAACAAACAGCATAAATACCCACCCATCCTGGGCTTGACAAAAATGAAAGCACCCTCTCTAATGTTGTGTGTGTGTGTGGATATTAATGCAACTACTGTAAATTACAATGGATTGATGCCCTGTTTATAATGAATGAATGAAATGATGGCACATACAGCAGCAGCAGCAGCAGCAAGTCTCCGAATCAAGCCTCGGTCAACCCACAAGTCCCACGTCCAGAGAAAAAACCCCCGTATGCTAGTTTGAGCTGGAGCGTTCCAACAGGATGCGAGAAGAAAAATGACCTAATTTTCCATTTACAAAGACTGTGATGACGCGTCTCTCTCTCACGCGTCTCCAGTCACATGCACACTGCAACAGTCACTTCATGCGCCACGCTCGTTGTTGCTCCTAACAATAAGAAGAAAAAGAACGCGCTGTCACTCACACAACATATTACAGTATTTTAAGAAACAGGTAGTAAATAACCCTTTGTCTCATGGCTTGACGTTAACGTGGCGATCTCGGACAAGTCTGGCTCTGTTTGCTGCTGGGTTTCATCATTTTAGTGAAGCGTAGAGAGCGATATTCCCCTGAGTCGTACACATGAACTCTGAAGTTACGGTCTCTCAGCGGCAATGACTGAACTGCCACAACTGATGGTTCCCTGCAGTTAAGGCAGAAAAAAATACAAAACAACAAAACTCTCCCATCTCCCCGTCATGGGTCAAGGACAGACAGCACATACAAGACGACAATTCCTTATTATTTTATTTTAAAAAAAGAGACGTCTGGGGACTGTTATAGGTCATCAATGGAAGAAAAGGGAAAGTTCCGCTGTGTCATCCAGCCAACTTCTGCACCACCAATACAGCATGATGTATCTTTCTCAAAACCTCGGAAATCTAATGGTTACATTTTTTGCATACATGTATTTGTCAATTATCCTCTTTGTTTTCTCTCTGTCTGTCTAGGTTTTCCTCCTCGTCTCTTTCTGGTTCGCTCAGGCCTCCCCCCTCCTGGTCTCTCATATGGCCTTTTCACTGGTCACTGATCTCTCTCACTGGACTTCTCTCTGTTGTCTCTTTCCGACTCTCTCTGGTCTCTTTGGTATCTTTTTGGTCTTACTCTGTACTCGCTTAAGTCCCTATCTGTACTTTCTCTGTCTCTCCCGGCCTCCATCTCTGGTCTCATCTCTAGTCACTCTCATCGGCTCATCGCTCTCGGTCTCTCTGTCCCTCTCTCTGCTCTCTCTCCGGTATCTCTCTGGTCCTCTCTCGCTCTCTGCTTCTCTTCCGGTCTCTTCTCTGGTCTCTCTCTTTGTCTCTCCTCTGGTCTCTCTCTTGCTCTCTCTCCGAACTCCCTCTCTGGTCTCTCTTTGGGCTCCTCTGCCATCTCACGGGTCTCTCACCTCCCAGTCTCTATCTCTCTGGTCTCTCTCCTGGCTCTCTCCTCTGGTCCTCTCTGGTCTCTCGCTCTGGTCTCGCGCTCTGTCTCTCTCCACTCTCTCTCTCTGTGATGACACCACACACACTTAGCAAACTCCCTTGACGGGGCATGAGTAAAATCACCAAAAGCACAAAAAGGTCAGAACTGATTCTACAAACGGACTGAAGTGTTAGTAACAACATTGATCAGCAGCACATTTCTACCCAGTAATAGACTTCTGATCGCCAATATCAGTGAAGCTTCTGCCGCGTGGGAGGGGTCGTGGGGGGGAGGATGGGGGGGGTGAGCGGGATGGCCAGCTGTCCTCGGTGCTCATGGTTCTCTCACAGCCCTGAGGTACAACTATGATTTTTTTATGAAAGTGCACTCAAAACACACGTTGTCCCTCCGGCAACATGGTCCCTGTCCCAGGCATCGCCCCAGAGCGTCTGTTCAACCTCCTGAAGACGGGATACAGGATGGAGCGGCCAGAGAACTGCTCAGAGGAGATGTAAGAACTAAACATTTACCTGCTGTCAGAGCCACAGTCTCCACAACATACATGGATTTGAAATAGACTCACATTATTCATATGTTTGGAAAAGGACTAAATAACTCAAACTAAATGACTGAACTAGATGTTTGACTCTATCCTATTTTTGTTGTTGATTACTAAGGTAGGTGTCTATATTGACATATTTTCACCTTGCCCAGGAACTAACTTTGTAGGTAAAACAGGAATTTTCCAGAAATGTTCTTTAAAGTCACTTAAATCAATACATTAAAAAATAAATAAATACAAATAAACTTCTCCTACTTGTATGAACAGCTTGAACAGCAAGATTTTAGCTCAAGATGATTTTATTAACGAAGAATACACAAGAAAATAAATTCCTTAAGCACTGAAAACAACTTTTAGTGGATAAATGAGAAGAAACAATTATTTAAAACATGTTTGATGGCTCTGATTTCTACAGTATATTGTTTTGTGTAAGCCCTCAGTCGTACAGGGATTAGTCAAAGCAAAGGAAGGTTTCTCACCCATCATCTGTACTTCTTAGCAAGTTTTCCTGACGTTTCGTCCTCAACCTGGGGACTTCTTCAGGGAATGAATTCTCGGACTGCGCGTTGGAGATTTATAACCTATGGGTGTGGTAAGCCACACCCTAACCCTGATACTAACTCGTAAACAATCTCAGGTCTGCTTGATGTAGAAGGGAGCAGGTCTAACGACCCTGCTGAGGCTAACGACCCTAACTCCTTAGCATGTCACAGACCTATTGTCTGCTGGGATCATCAAGTGGAGTGCAGGTTTCACCCCTCCTAACTCATTAGCATGTCACTGACCTTGTCCCAAGTTAGGGCGTTGTTTTTAGGATGTCGTCATAGATGCGAGGCAAAACAAATCTTAACCCTCCTCCTCTGTTAAGAGAAGGTTTCTGTTTCCTCACAAAAATGGCTTCTTTCACCCCTCTCTCAAACCAATTCTTCTCCCGAGCCAGAATTTTAACCTCTGTGTCATCCACCGTGTGGTTGGAGGCCTTCAGGTGGAGATGAACAGCCGACTGTGGCCCACTAGAGTTTTCTCTACGATGTTGGTAAAGTCGTTTCTGTAGAGTTTGTTTGGTTTCTCCAATATAGTGGTCAGTGCACTCCTCTTCACTACATTTAATTGAATACACCACATTGCTCTGTTTGTGTCTGGGTGTTTTGTCTTTGGGATGCACTAATTTCTGTCTTAACGTGTTGAAAGGTTTGAAATACACAGGGATTTTGTGTTGCCTAAAGATTCTTTGTAGTTTCTCTGAAACTCCCGCCACATACGGTAAGGACACCCCTCTCCTCCTACTTTCTTCTGTCTGTAGGACTGTGTCTCTGGCCTTTCTCGTCCTTTGGGCTTTAGTAAAAGACCACTTGGGGTAGCCACATCTGGAAAGTGCTCTCTGAACATGTTTGGTTTCTTTGTTCTTTCCCTCCGAGCTCGTGGGGACCTGGTGGGCTCTGTGTTGAAGCGTTCTAATGACCCCGAGTTTGTGTTGTAGCTGATGATTTGAATCAAAAGCCAAGTACTGGTCAGTGTGAGTGGACTTTCTGAAGACCTCAGTCTCTAATTGTCCGTTCTCCAGTATGATGACCTTACAATCTAGAAAGGCGAGTTCTCTCTCCTTAGCATCCTCGCGAGTGAAATTTATAAAAGGGTCCACCGAGTTAATGTGTGCTGAAAATGGTTCCACTTCCTGTTTCTTTAACTTAACCCATGTATCGTCTACATATCGAAACCAATGGCTTGGCGCTGTCCCTTGGTAAGAGCCCAGGGCATGTTCCTCCAGTTTCTCCATATACAGATTGGCCACTATAGGAGAGACTGGGGAGCCCATCGCACAGCCATGAATCTGTCTAAAGAAGGTGCCTCTAAATTGGAAATACGTGGTGTTAAGACACATTTCAAGTATTTCACAGATGTGGTCAGCTGTTAGTTTCGTTCTCTCCCCTAGTGTGGCGTCTTTCTGTAGGCTTTCTCTTACAGCCTCCACCGCCTCTGTAATAGGGACCGACGTAAAAAGCGATGTCACATCAAACGAGACCATTGTCTCATCTCTGTCAAACTGGAGGTGTTTGATTTTATTTACAAATTCTTTTGTGTTTTCTATGTGATGGTGGGTGTTACCCACCAAAGGAGCCAGAATGGTTTTGAGGTGTTTAGCCAATAATGAAAGAAGATTATAGACTTCCTTCAGAACTTAATGAAAGAGGGCATTATTGAAAAACCACTATATTACGAACTTTACCCAGGAGACACCATCCCCAGTATTTATGGCCTCCCAAAAATACACAAACAAAACTTTCCACTTCGGCCTATTGTATGTAGCATAGACTCTATCACCTACAACCTGGCTAAACACCTCAAAACCATTCTGGCTCCTTTGGTGGGTAACACCCGACAAACTAACCAATTGAGACAGACAGATGACATTGACCCCATTGTTAAACCTGGTGATTGGATATTCATCAAAGTTCAGAATAGATCCAAATGGAAGCAGCCATACCAGACAGGACCATATAAAGTGACTAATTGCACAGGGAGGTCCATTTGGATCTATTCTGAACTTTGATGAATATCCAATCACCAGGTTTAACAATGGGGTCAATGTCATCTGTCTGTCTCAATTGGTTAGTTTGTCGGGTGTTACCCACCAAAGGAGCCAGAATGGTTTTGAGGTGTTTAGCCAGGTTGTAGGTGATAGAGTCTATGCTACATACAATAGGCCGAAGTGGAAAGTTTTGTTTGTGTATTTTTGGGAGGCCATAAATACTGGGGATGGTGTCTCCTGGGTAAAGTTCGTAATATAGTGGTTTTTCAATAATGCCCTCTTTCATTAAGTTCTGAAGGAAGTCTATAATCTTCTTTCATTATTGGCTAAACACCTCAAAACCATTCTGTTCCTTTAGTGCAGACTTTGAATAAACAGGTCTCCGCTCTTACCTTTTGTCGAACAGGGCCCAGGCACAGTCAAAAGTCCACCAAATTTCAGCTTTTCCACGTCCAACCCGGGGTCTCCAGATCATGAACCAGCGCTCACTAGTACCGGGAACTAGTTTCCATCGGCAGAGACCAATCACCCCTCAGAAATCCCTGGAATACGGACATGGAAAAACAAATTTAAACGCTTTTTCAGTCCAAAAAAGAGGACACAAAAAAAAAATATAGTGAGAGAGCAAAAAAGCCCCGGAATCGTCACCTCTCCAGCTTGGTAGATAGTACCCAAATCCAGATGCTCTCAGCTCTCTCACGCTGAAAAAAAAACGTTCTCACAACAGCCGAGGCAGAGTCGCATTCAGCGCCGCATTCTCCACCACCAGAAGAGAACCCGCTGTGACCTGATGTAATCATGATCAGTCAAGTTAAAGCCAGCTCACTTATAGCGCCGCTATAACAAACAGCTGACGTTGCTATAATGCTAACATTAGCTGTTTTGCTAAATAAGTAGCTAGGGAGGCTCCTTCGTTTTAGTCTGAGGAGAAACAGTCTTCAAATAACTAACTAAACAGTTGTTCATAAGTGAGCCTGCGTAGCCTTCTAGTCACAACAATACTGATACTGTGAGTGGATGAAGAGCACACCAATATTTTAGAGCTAAAATCACAAACTTGTCTTTTTACCATTAATACAAAGACAACTGGAGAACAAAAGTTTTCAACCTGTATACCACTCAAAATGTAGTAACTACTTATTAATGTGGCTTTTTCCCTTTATCAGGAGAACTGCGCCTTGCATCTGAGGAGGGGACTGCTGAGCTGAATGCATGGAGAGACGTTGTAGGAGCCATTTAGGGTTTTTGTTTTTCTGTGTGAATGTGACTAGTACATGCACGCGCATATAGTATCATGCACGGGTCCAGTGGGTGTGGTTGTCTATTCAGTGCACGCGCTCACTTCAGCTGTGTGTGTGTGTGCCTGTGTCATGGCGGTGGGGTGAGCTGGGGAAGGAACTTTCTGTTGACCGCATGTTTCCATCAATTAAAATATCTGCACTGTCTTAATGAGGTATCTTCATTATCATACATAGCAACATTCCAAGTAAGTGCCTGATTCATTTCTACTCTCCGCAATAAACTTCATCATACTGTGCAATATCTCCGACTGCGCGTCATCAGTGTCTGCTCCCTTGCTTAGCCCGCCGTGGCGTCATGGATTAAGTTTGCCCTCCCATACGCCACTATATTTGTCAACAGAAAACCCTGTCGTTTGTTGAAGCGCAGTTTCATTGTAATGTCGGACAACTGTGGATGTTTACAATCTCTATCAAAGTTGTGAAGATAGACGTGAGCGCGCATGGATAATACGCAGTGCCCATTCATTCACAAATCCGCTGCACACGTCAATCAAGGGCTTGAGCTAAAAAGGCATTGCTTTAGCGAATAACATGGATTATTGATCCCCTCACTCTGTAGTGCTTGTACAAAAGGTGAAGTGCTATTTGGTTTGGTTTTTACGGATTTTTTGAGCTTCCACTTAAATAAAGATTGGAGCTGGGTCCGCGTGAGTGTTGGGGAGAGGAACGCTGTGTCTTAGAGCAAAAGCCATAAAAAGTAAAGTAAAAAAAGGAGAGAAATAATAAAGGAATCAAGAAGTGTGCACAGCAGAATTGAGATTTGTGGATATTTAAGAAGGAAATATGTCAACTCAAGAAGGGTCAAAAGAAGAGACTCAAAAAAGACAATCAAAGCTCACATTTTAAAGCCTTTGAACAGAAATTAGAAAGGCTTCAACATGATAGAAAAGTTAAAGTAAAACAAATCAAAATGACAACGAGAGAAATGACAGAGCTTATGAAAAATGCTGTAAATACTGAAAAGGTCCGCTCATGCATTGAAAATGTATCAACTCTGTTTAATGAAGCAAGCAAGTTGCATGATGAAGTCATTTCTATGGTTCCCTCTGATGAGCAGGAACAGCAGAATGCATGGTTTGTCAATGTGGAGGAGCATAAAGCTACTTGTGTGGAGGAGG